CGGACACAATGACCAACAAGAAGGGAGACAAGAAGGGAAACAAAAGGAAACAGAAGGGAGACAAGACGGACACAATGACCAACAAAGAAGGGAGACAAAAGGAAACAGAAGGGAGACCAGACGAACGCAATGACCAACACGAAGGGAGACAAGAAGGGAGACAAAAGTAAAAAGAAGGGAGACAAGACGGACACAACGACGAACAAGAAGGGAGACAAGACGGAGACAAAGGGAAACAGAGGAGAGACAAGGCGGACACAGTGACCAACAAGAAGGGAAACAAGAAGGGAGACAAGCCGGACGGAAGGCGGACATGTTGTCCCGCAGCAAGGCGGACACTCTTAGAAAGCCTTGAGCACCCCTAACAGTAACCTGTTTGGAGAAGTGCAGAAAGCACCTGGGAGACAAATGAGCACAAATACTGGGAAGGGGACAAGGGCGGATGCCAGCAGCGCAGGCACCGAACCTCGGAGACAGAAGTAAAAAACAACTTTTGAGACAAATGAATTGAAATGCTGCATGGCCAGCGGAAAAGGGCGGACACCAGCAGCAACACAAAGGGCGGACACATCTTAAGAAAGAATTGAGAACCCCTAACAGTAAACTGTTTGGGGAATAACCTGACCAACCATGAAGGGATTGACCATACTGCTCCATACTTTGAGATCATCAAAGCCTTCGCCAAGTCTGGAGGAACAGCATGAACTCCCCAGACTTGGAATTCTTGTTCTTTGGAAGAGGCCAACTTATGATCCGAGTCTGGACCCCTCGCAAGGTCGTGGGTTCCACGCTCTGCCGGTCACGTCCCAGTCACTGGTCTCGCCAGTTGCGCAGCGCCCGGAAATGCAGGTTCTGCTGGAAGTCCTGGATGGGCCCGTTTCCCGGGCACAGGGGTGGAGCATCGGGTGGGACCGTTTCCCAAAACCACCAGGAGAACAGCAGATTGACAACACACCCTTTCTACACCCACAAGAATGGGAACATGTACAGTAATGTCGAATCCCAATTCAATTCAGTAAAGTCGCCAAAGGGAATTTGAACAGTAGTTTTCGATTGCTTCGCTATTGAATGCTATTGTTTCCCCTTCAGATCCTTGTTGAATCCCTTATGATCCTTATGAGGTTGTGTTTGAGTTTGATTCCCCTTATGTTTGACCTGAAAACCGGTTTCAAACCACCCAGCATTTGGAGCAATGCATCAGATTCATTGCTCCGTTCCCATCTCCCAACCTTTGAGAAGACGCATCGTCAGTGTATGTTCAGTATGTTCACCAAATCCCTGGGCAGGTGAAGTACATGAATTCTGGGATGACTGGGTCAGATCATCCACCCACTTGGAGCCCCGAGCCAAACCATCTCCGAGCTGAGTACTAGTGCGTTCTGAAAGAAGTTCTGCTTTTAGCTACCCTTTCAGATCCTTGCTTAACCTCTTCTGAGATTTGCTTGTTTCCAGTTTCGGTCAAGCTTTGTCCACCTGTTCATTTTTGATATTTAGGCGCCCAGCAGCCCAGGTGCACAGCTTCTCCAACCCTGACTACACCGAGCTGTCCCTTGCCCTGCGCAAGGAGCACTCCTGCTCACCCACATCATCCCATTGCGGAGCGTGGTCCAAGCACCAAGCCTGACCAGTCTGGTGGGTGAAACCGCCAGCGCTGGGCGTCCCACCGAGCGTGGATCTCGAAAGACATCGGGGAGGTGAAGATCCATACGGCCCTCTAACAGAAGGGATTTTCTCACGTGGCCGTTCGTGTCCAAAGGAAGCTGCGAAGATGCACTGGAAACAGCGCATGTACAGTCCTTCAAGAAGATGTCTGTGACATCATGTCCATTTATGACCCACTTCCCACGTGGTATCCCCATTCCAACCTTGAAATCCCATGATCCCAAACCAAACCAGCGATTGTGTGTTTTGTCACCGGAGTGGGACTGTCTGCAGAAACACCAAACACGAGCATGCATGCCAGTTCCCCCGTAAAAACCAGACCCCCTGGGCAGCATTCCAAGTGCAAATGTTCGCCCCTCTGATTAGCAATGTGCTGAAGAGGAACGCTCGGTTTTGTTTGAACATATCAAATTAAAAGAAATCAACTATATATGTTCAAACAACTGTAGCTCCCAGTTTGGCTCCCAGTTCGGCTTGCTCCCTTCTCTTTAATTCTTGCTCCACCCGCTTGAGTCCAAAACTCCGCTCGGTCCGGAGCGAGAACACCCGAAAAGGCCCCTGCCGGTCATGCACAACAAGCATCCTCACACTGCCTGCGTTGGGCGGGGTTTCCGGCCCTTGTGTCTCCCATTTATTTGTGTTCGTTCGTTTTTCTTTTTTCCAACACTAACATGATCTAACACGCTTTCTGGCTTCGGGTGGTTTTTGCGGTGAAGCTGCCGGGTGGTCTCCAAAACAGGCTTCCGCCTCATGGTCGAGTGGGGTCTCTTCGACCTCGTCTCGGTCGGTCGGCGCGAGAAAAGCGGAGGGCGAGCTGCCCGGTGTCCGATCAACGAATTTGGGGCACTCCATTCGTGGAACCAGGGTGGTCAAGGAACTGCTGGTGACCTGGTCCTTGCTTTGACTTCCTTTTTAGGTCCTGGTCCTTGCTGAAGGTTGATTGTTCTTCAAACACTCCAAATGGTGCCACGGAAACCCGTGGGGTTCACAGGTTGCATGGGGCTGTTTGGATCTGTTTGGATTGGTGAACCAATTGGGTACAGTACGGGCTCACCTGGCTCAGTCAGCCAACCAAACAGGGGGGATCCCATGGGATTAGACACCGACATGAGACACCACAGAGTCGAGCTACCAAAGACTCAACACTGAGCACTTCTCTTGAACATGATGTGTACAAATTGCTCTCTGTTGAACATTCTCTCTAGTTGCGCTAAATAAATGGACCATTGTTGACTTCAAAAAACCTTCTCGATCATTGAGAGACACTTCCAAGTCTGAAAACAGCTGAAACGCAGGTCCAACCGTCTGAAAAGAATAGGTTGGGTGTATCCCATTCCAACAGTGGATGATGCTGGTTATGTTGCAGGCCTTTCTCAAAAATAGTGATAACCTTGTATTTACTGTGACAGGTCATGGGACACACACTAAGAAGGAACAAAGTCCAGGGATTTCTGCACTCGCACGAGACTGAACAGCATTGACTCAAGTCTCCCGCGCCTGGCATGTGTTTACCACCTCAACCCCAGCCTGCAATAAGGACCAGCTCTGGTGAATCGTGGGTGCCGAAAGTGCCGTTCCCAGTTGCTGACCCCTACAAAAAGGGCTGTTAGACGTAGCAAGACGTACCTGAATCCACAGGGTGCTATCCAACCCCCCTCCCACATCTGAGCAATAGACAAACACCTGAATGGTATGATATACCAGTGTGTATATATATATATTATATACATATTATCTGGCCTTTGTATGTCAGAGTCATACTCATAGTCATGTATAGTGGGTCTTCTTGTTTCAGCCGACCTCCCACGTCAGCCGGACGCCACCGTCACTCGGGTTTTTCGCCGTGCTGCCTCCCCGCTGGACGAGGCAGCGACGCTGAAGGAGGACCTGTCATCTTCATCTCGCTCGGTCGGTCGGTCGGTCGTCTTCGCAGCGGTGCTGGAGGCGACTGGCAAGTAGAACGGCGGGACCTCTCTTAGAATAAGACATCACAAGCCAACTTGGAGGCCGAGGCCTGAGGCCGATTTTGCACTGGCATGTATATATATATATATGAATATATCTTATGAAGCCATCTGACATTGTTGGAAGAAACACAGGCACAAGTGATGATCACTAACAGCAACACAATTTATGTTCTTAGGGTGGTGAATTGGTGCAGAGTTCTTCCAAAAAGGTGCCGAACTGCCAACCGACCGGCCGACTGAACATCGAAACATGCCGAAGACCCCGAACATGGCATTACCATGGTGTGCGCATCAGCTTCTGGCTGGCAGGGACATCCCTTTGCACTCTGTGACATCGACACCGAGCAGACATCGACAGGAAAGAAGGGTCCAGAAGGCGACAACTTGGATGCATTGGCAAAAGGAACCCTGTCTTTCACTTCCAATGGAACCAGGGAAACTCAATGGAACCCATGTGGATGATACTCCGAACTGCACTCCCCAAAATTTGAGGGTTTTTGTTTTGTTCCAGGGTGAAGTGGTGGAACTAGCTTTGTGCCAGGGTAATCACTCCTACTACAAACAACGATTTAATAAGATCAACTCATACATGTTCTATATCCTGGAATATGTCTCCACCTTTGACCCCTCTTCAACCACTATAATGTATGTAAGACCCTATAGTATATAGAGAGAGAGACACATCATACAATACAAGGAGTATCATGTATATAGATTCTATGCGATCCCCTCGATTCTGCCCAAGCGACCCAATCCCGCGGCCAATCCCGCAGCCCCCGCCGTCGGAGCCGCGCGGGCTTGGCCGGCTGAAGCTTGGCGGCGAGAGCCTTGAGCTTGTCCACCTGTGAAGAAATGGAAGACTACAAGTGACTGGAAGCACTGGAAGTAAAGTCGATCAAGAGGCATGAAACGTCTTCCTTGCCGGACGCTTTTGGAGGGAACCATGTAAGGGATGAAGGGTCTTTCTTTGCCAAATGTATCTATTTTCAGGGAACCATATACCTCTTCATTCTTCCGGCCAGCATGGCTAAGTTCCACATGCACAAAGTAATCTCAACACATATCGAGCTTCAACGGATGCCGGGGCCCTCGTTCTCCCGTTCTCGAAGTGCCCAGAACTCCTGAAGTACAGGAGGTTCTTAGAACTTGCAAGGGTCATGCTGTCTTATGAGTCTTATCCATAGTATATAAATATATTATATACATGTTTGACATGGTTTCACGCCTGCATGTTGTTTGTGGTCGACTTCATGGACTACCACGATGACTGAAGCAAAACATGCTGGTGGTGGCAGTGATCCTGAAGCGCTCGTGTCGTCCAAACTTTGCAGGGTCGGGTCCCCGGACTCGCGTCCAAAGCGACCGACCTCATCGTGCTCCTGCATTGTGGTTCTTCAGGCGACCACGCTTGTGGAATGTTGGACATCTCGTGCGCTTAGTACCTGGCAGTGAGTCCTTGCAACTGTCTCGGAGCCTCATCTGCGAACAAAGAATCGGTGCACGCCACGTATAGTTCCGGTGATGGTCCAGTGATGGTCACATGGCGCACCAGACTTCGTTCGTTGTCGCCCTGGCCTGCCAGGTGTTGGACGAGGGCCGATCCTACTGGGTCCATGCAGTAGATCTCATCGTCGTGGGCCCAACGGGAGGGTGGCCGGGCTCAAACGGCGTCGCTCATGCTGATGCCGTCGGCCTTGCAAGACGACATGCTCTCGTCACTCTTAGCCGCGCCGTGGTTCGGCAGGGTGACCGGAGGTTGTTGGAGGTGTTGGTCTACCCAAAATCAGACTGGGAGGCCACACCCAGGACCCATTCCCAGAACAGCCACCGCCACCGCCACCACCACCACGGCCACGGAAGCCTCGGCGTCTGTCATGATGAGCCTCGGTATCTGTCACGGGACAAAGGCGAAACGACGACCGGATCCTTTGGAAGTGAATGTGACCGAAAGAAACACATTACACAGACACTCCGGTGGGGATTGGCAATCAACCGGAACTGCAGTTCGATGTGTTGCTTAGCAAAATAAAGGGCTTTTTTCGGCTCAAAGCAAGGAGTGAAATCATGGAAACAGTCATGTTTCTACTCATGTTTCTATGTGTTTCTCAAAGACCAACAGCTTGTCGTGACCACTCGCAAAGCACTAAACATGGAATCGTGTTCTTCACGATGAGCAAAACACAACTCTTGATCTAGTGCCCATACACGCTTTGCACCACCTCAAGTACCAGTAACGGATAAACCATTGTATACTCAATCTGGCACTGTTTTTTTCCATCAAGAGTGCCCCAGGGCCTAAAATCACAAGCAGCATCAAACAACAGGTTTAAGTTTAATTACCACACACCTGGTACCCTCTTAAATCTCCTCGTGCAGCTGGTCCTACACTCTGGTTGCCAAAAGCAAATGCAATGACCTCATCTTACCATTATATATCCTACCGCCCTACACCAAAAATGACCAGAAACACAACCAACAGTCGATATACCAAGAGCACGTCAAACTGCAGCGGTGCTGGGTATATCTACGTGTTGCTGGCTTGAAGGGACTATGACTCTTGAGAATCTTGAGATCCCTTTTGCAAACCGCGAAGGACGGTCAAAGGCAACCCCACAGGACGGTCAGCGGACGGTCAGCCAAAACAAAGGGCATTCCAAAAGTGGTCCTCCCAACGACCGTGAACGCCGTTCTTTTATGCTGGAAGCCTTCGATGACCTATTGCAATAGTGTGAAATAAACGTGTAAAATGGTGTGGTTGATGTCCATTGTGCTTGGAATGGTGAATTGAGATAGTGCATAATTACACAATTTATTGGTCAGCCATAGCTTGGAAAAGTCTAGCTTCTTCAATCAAAAGGCACTACATCGACCCAAAAAAGGGAAGGACACCTTAGGAAACTGCTGTTTCTTTCTGCCGTGAGCTGCTTTCTGCCAAATCATGCACCACGTCAGAACCCACGAGCTCTTTCAACGAAGGTGTTTCTTCCTTCTTCTCATGCCATCTGCATCTCTCCTTTGGAACTGTTTTCATTTTTGACTTTCTTGTGGGATCTTGATGATTGTTCATTTTTTGTTTTAATCTTGCACTTATATAATCCATTTGCATGCTCCAAGGCTTGACCATTGGCTAAACTTGAACATGTGTCTTGAATCACTATTTAACCGCAGCAACCAGGATTTCTCGCCGCAACCTGGTACAGGATTCCTCGCCGCAGCCTGATTCAGGATTTTTCGCCGCAGCCTGATTCAGGATTTCTCGCCGCAACCTGATCCAGAAACTGGATTATTTAACAGGCTGCGGCGAGGAATTCTGAATCAGCTGCGAGAAAACCTGAATCAGCCCGCGGCTAGCTTACAGTAGGGGCTAGCTGCATAGCGAGAAATCCTGGATCAGGCTGCGGCTAGCTCCTACTGCAGGAGATAGGTGGAGAAGAAAGGGATCTCAGCATGGCATCAAAGTCTGTGAATACTAGCAATCTTGCAGCGGATGCAGGAATGTGCGCTTGCTCAACCTTGTGCTGCTGGCGAGCTATCTTCTACTTGGCTGTTTTTCGATCAAGTTCGCAAGTACCACCGGCGGTTTGCTGATCAGCTTGATGCCTGGATATCAGTCCCATGTGCTCGCGTCATATTCCCAAACATTGCTCCCAAGACGTTTCATCGGTCTATGACTAGCAAGGTTTGTTTTGCACTCAATCAGATTATATCTGGAACGTGCTATTTTTTGTTTGGGCCAATTGCACTCAGAGCAGACATCAGTGGAGTGGTTGGCTTCGAATGGTTCTTTTCACAATAAGCAGTGTGTCATTTCCGTGCTATGTTCACCTCTGTTATTACAGCTTGCGGGCTGCGAATCTATCCTTACAAGAAGATTTCCCGACGTCCGACGTCCGACGTCCGACTTGCCCTGTTCGGGCCTGGTATGCTCTTGCGTCGGCTGCTTTGGCCATGGTGAACGGGCCTGATTCTTCCTAGGTCTCATTTGGACCTGAATCTGCGTTAATTGTGTTCTTCTATCTATGCTTTACCCCTTCCGGTGCTTGACTCAGTGTAGAGGGCAACGGTGAAGTGGACACCCTCATTCTTTCACGGGTAGCGAGCTTGAGAGGCAGCCCCGTGCGCAGCACAAAAAGGATCTTTTAAACCCCAAAACCAGACCCTACAGACCCTACAGTACAGTACCACCGGAACGAAATGAAAAATTCTAACTAGACCCTACAGTAAGTTCATACAAGACCCATACAGACCCTACAGTACAACTGGCCATCTGACCTCCACCGACCGCCGCGCCCCGGACACCGAACCGAACCGGCCGTTGGCGCCGTGAAGACGAAACCAGGTCCGCTGGAAGCCGCTCTGAGCTGCCCAGACTCTGAGCTGATGTCGGGCTTCAAGGCCTCCAACTCTCGGCCTTGCACCGATGGAGCGCCCAGGAACGGTTGGGGGTGGGGAGTGTTCCTCCCACCGACGAGAGGATGCGGTTAACGCGCTAAGAGTTGGAGAATATAGGCTCCCAACACTCCATGTATGGCATATATGCCCACATTGACCCCCCGTGGCACCACCCCAATGTAGGTAAATATGGCATGGAGCGTCTGGGTAATTAGGCTCCCAACTGGGCTCCAAGCACCCCAACACACCAAGATGTTCTGCCGTTTCTGCAGAGGAATCCATTGTGGCAAGTAGGTTCCACTCAGTGTGGTGTTCGGTTCTTCTACCTCCACACGTTGATTTTTCCAGGCTCACCCACGAACGAGTGCTTTTGGGCCATTGAAACGCGAGGTTACAAAGGTTCTTCGCAGGTCACAGACCTCTGATGTCAATCTAGCACTGCTCACTTACCGGGGGTTGTTTTGGTTGACAGTTCTAGTGGTGCTCCTGGAGTAGGTGATGTGCTCTGACAGCCCAACATTGTGGCACCTCGTTGGCCGAACATCTTCTTTTGGGGAACCAACAAGTCGTGATCTTTGAGGATTGGACTTGATCATTTGATGTGAAAAAACAAAACAAACAACCGTTTGACCATATGTTTGACCATTGACCCAACCCCATGAGCCACAGCAGTGCTCATGAACTCCAATAGGAATGCATCCACCTGACCTCATGTGACGTGAAGAGCGCACAAATGTCAAACAAAAACATCCGAGGTGACTTGGAAGCTTCAGAGGTTCTACAGTTCTACCACCCAGATTCACGGCTTCTGATTTTCACGTCTTCATTACACGGTGCTTCTCAGTCTCACCAGATCTGCCCGAGAACCTCGTCCTGGATGCTTCGAACCTCCCCGTTTCCTCGCCACGGCGGACCCCACCGCCTACGGCACCGCAGACCTTCAGCGCGTGTTCCACTTCCGTCAGCTGTTCCTCCAGTGCCCGGCGCCGCAGCAGGCTGCGGTCCACCTCCGGTCGTGGCGTCGAAACGGACCCGGCGTTCGGGGCCACAGCGGTGTCTCTGTGTGTGTCATAAAACAGGGTCTTTCTGCCCGGTTGAGTATGTACACTAATTAGTGGAGCCCATCGATGTCAAGTAGATTCTCAGTCATTCTCAGTCTAGGGAAATTGAGACCTCAAACAAATGACACATGCAGCGACTAGGCCCTGGGGGGTCCCGAAATTCTGCCCAGGATCTCCGTCCCGCTGCCGCGCCTCCGTGGCCAGCTCCACACGGCGTTTGCCCAGCGACTGCCGCTGCTGGGAGACGTCCACCAAGCGGCACTGGCGACGCACTGGACCAGACGGATAAGAAGCTCCGAGCGGAAGATGAAGATGTGAAATGAGTGTATTCTAATGGGGGACTGCCAAACCAATGAGCAAAATAGTGTAACCTCCCGAGTGCGTCGGCATAGGGGGCCGGTAAATCTGTGGTCCCGGTTGACCCAGGGGTGGCCACAGCATGAACTGCATGAACTGGGCTCAACAGGGTCAAGTGGGACACCCAGTTCAACTGGGTTGGCCGTTCTGCAGAAAAAAAGTGTTTGTCAGTTCCATGCAGCACTGGGTCTTCGTCCGATCGCCAGTTGGACAGCATCTCTGGGCAAGCGAGATTGCGGAGGATCTGCGCCATCTTGCACTGCCATGCCATCAATTGACAAATTTGAAGGCTTGGCGTCCAGGACAGAACAGTCGCGGATGGCGAGCTTCTCGTCGATGCTCCTCAAGCCGCTGATGACTGATGACATGTGGCAGATCCTCTTGGAACAACATCTGGTCTCATGATGGTGTATGCTCTTTTGATGGACGGACCCTTGCAGATGGCCTGTCGTTTCCCTTCGGCTCTCTCTTCTTGGCGTTGTTTCCGAAGAAGTTTCTGATGTTCCCGATTCCTGACTCTTCGGGCTTCTTCCTTTTCGTCCTGCCGACGCAACCATGCACTCCAAGACTTCATCTTGAACGAAGTCGTCTTCTCTGGCTCGGCAGCTTTTTCCTGGCCTCAATAGACTGTCCCCATGCGTGCTAGTAGCAGTTCATTGTTTGGTGCCTGCCATATGACCACCGCTCTGGTGTGTGATCCCCGGGCTTGTCTCCACACCAGTTCCATCACTGACAAACACTTTTTTCGTGCGGAACGGAGCCCGAGAGTCTTCCAGTCAAGGTCATGCCTACGGCGCCCACAATATAGAGAAGGCTTTGAAATACTTGATCCACGCCAGCTGAGACAGCGGCCAGGGCATTGCAGGTCCAACCATCGTTTGTTACGGTCCAGGGTTGGCGAGTGTGCAATGACTTTGGCAGCTTTGGAATTGGAATGCTCCCGGGGCTCGGAGTTGATTTGGAACTACACACCCGGGCCCAATGACTTGGAATTGCTCGCGGAAAATGAGCCACTGCATTGGACTGCGTGCAGCCTGCAGCGAAGACATGCGCGTAAGCAACGTGGAGGTAAAACCACTAGAGACCAAGCTCAACACCAGACGTCCCGTGTTGAGGTTGGTTGGGACCCTTGCCTCGATCGGGTGGAAGAAACCAAGCTCAACACCAGACATCCCGTGTTGAGGTTGGTTGGGCACCTTTCCTGATCCAGTTGAGACACTGCCACCATCAGAACCTTATGGTCCCAGTTGACCCAGTTGAACTCAGTTGACCCAGTTGGGCCCAGTTGACCCAGGTGACCCGGTTGAGGTCAGCTGGGTCAACTGGGTCCAGAGATTTAGCGCGGCTCCGTGTGCGGTCGCAATGAATCTTCCTCTTCTTCCAGGGGATGGTTTGAGACTGAGAGGTCCCTTATTTTAATACACACTCAACTTTGTGAGTCACAGCTTCGAAGAGCATAGACGATTGATAAATTCCTATTATGTTAGGAGTTGGGTGTGTTTGTGTTCGCTGCTAGCAGGGCCTAGCGATGAGCACAGCGGTCACAAGTCAGGGAAAATATAGTGCTTGTGCAGATGTTACAGATGTTCATCCGTTTTGCTCTCACAAAGAATAGGTGACATGTCGCTGTCTTCCAAGTGGTGGCTTGCCTCCATGAGCCGTTTTCACCCCACCGGGTTAATTTGGGCTGCGGATCTATTTTTGATTGTTTGTCCCCCACCTGCCAGGTGAGGGTTGTTAGAATTTATCACAGTTGTTCTTCCTCCTCCTCCTCCTCCTCCTCCTCCTCCTCCTCCTCCTCCTCCGCGTCCTCCTCCTTCCTCCTTCCTCCTTGCTTCCTTCCTCGCCAATCTTCATCGCCAATCTGCTTCGCCGATCTTGTCTGGCCAGCTCCGCATCGCAGTGTGCACCCCTGGACCTCAACCGCAAGGATCCGATCGCAGTGTGCACACCTGGACCTCAACCGCAAGGATCCGATCGCAGTGTGCACCCCTGGAC